AGACTATGTCTCACATACTTCGGACATGTTATCAGGAGGGATCAGTCCCTGGGGAGGGACATTATGCTTGGTAGAGGGTCATTGAAAAAGGCTTGTTGTGGATTGAATTGTGTTCCCCCAAAAATGTGTGTATCAGTTTGGCTAGGTCATGATTCCCAGTATTGTATGATTATCTACCGTTTTGTAATCTGATGTGATTTCCCTATGTGTTGTATATTCTATCAGTATGATGTAATAAAATAGATTAGTGGCAGTTACATTGATGAGGTCTACAAGATTAGATAGTGTCTTAAGCCAATCTCTTTTGAGATATAAGAGAGAGAAGCGAACAGAGAGACATGGGAACTTCATACCATCAAGAAAGCAGTGCCGGGAGCAGAGCGCGTCCTTTGGACCTTAGGTTCCTATGCTGAGATGCTCCCAGACCAAAGGAAGACTGATGACAAGGACCATCCTCCAGAGCTGACAAAGAGAGAAAGCCTTCTTCTGGAGCTGATGCCTAAATTTGGATTTGTAGCCTACTGGACTGTGAGAGAATAAACTTCTCTTTGTTAAAGCCATTCACTTGTGGTATTTCTGTTACAGCAGCACTGGATGACTAAGACAACCATCAACAGATGGATTGACACAGTGGCTGCAACAATAGGCTGAAGCCCAACAAGGATCATGAGAATGGCGCAGGACCATGCAGTGTTTCCTTCTGTTGTACATTGGGTCGCTATGTTTTGGAACTGACTCGATGGCACCTAACAACATATATAATAGGTTCCAATACAAACCTTAGAAACAGGTCATTAATTTTTAAAAGATAGTGATATATTCATACAATGCAATACTACATAGCAGCAAACAAGGAACAAATTACTGTTGTATGTAACAACATTGATAAAATCTCACAGACATTATGTTGAGTAGATGAAGTCAGATGCTGCAGAGTTCATGCAGTATGATTCCAATTATATGAAGACCAAGAATATGCAAAACCTGTCTCTGGGGATAACAGGACACCAGTAAAAACTCATCTCATTGTACACTTAAGATTACTTCACGTTATGCAATTTACTATATGAGTGTTATGCTTGATTAAAAAAGTAAAAGCTGTTTATAATTGTCATTTTTGAAAGTACTTCACGGTCTGCATACTGTTCCTCGCAAGGACTGCCTCCTGCTCTGGAATACTTCTCTTTCCAGGTTCCTCAGCGCTTGTTGAGATCAGACTGGGTTTGCACAGTCAGTGCCCTGCTCCTGGGTAAAGATGTGTGATATGCAAGAGAAGACAAACTATGAACAGAAGCCAACACTTCAGACTTCCAGGTTTCTTAAATATGGGCGAGTATCTATGAGGAGTAAACAAATTTTTTCTCTAAAGAACATGGTAATTTTTTTCAAATGGCCGAATACCAACTTTCTCTGCTCCCCGATAATGTTAAAAATCTTTGCCTACTGAAACCCACCTTTAAGCCTATATATGCATTTCAGAAAACCTATGCTTTTCTCTACAGAGGAAGTAAAGACTGCAGTGGACAGTTCCCAACTCCAGGGGGAAGCCACGGAACCCCACGGTCACTAGGTGGAGCCCTTTGGGTGGCGCACGGAGAACCTAGCGTCGCAGACCCGGAAGCGGAAGTGTTCCTCCTCTGTCGGCAGTCGTGTTTGGCCGTGGTCCTGTTCTTGCGGGAGGTGGGTGTTGTGTCTCTCGGCGTCTTTCCTGGTCCAGTACTACTGTCCCAGGGTCTAAAGGCGCTGCTCCCTGTCTCCTGCGCAGTGCTGGCCTCTTCGCTCTCCCTAGGCTGCTCCAGAGCCGCGCGACTTCGTGTAGCCGCACTTTGCCCAGGGCCTCCCGCGGCCACCGCCCGGTCCAAAAACTCCGCCACCTCGCCCATGCCCTCCTGGACCGCGGTTGTCTTCTGCACGGCCTGGGCTGTACTTTGTCTCTCGGTGCATTAACAGGTAAAATCGTGTAAATCCTCGCTTCGCAAAAGTCTGGTTCCCAGACCAGCAGTGTCAGCTTCACTGGGCGTTTGTGAGAAATGCAGAGTCACGGGCCTCATAGAGGCCCAGGGTAGTTGGCCTGATTCTAAAGGCCCTGCCCCCCGCTCCAGTCCGCCGCTCACCTTGCTCCGATTTGTTTTCTGTGCTTCATTAAAGCAGGACTTTTGTGAATGATTGCCGGTCAAACAGTAAGTTTAAGGTGAGGCATATACCCCCCCCCCAACTTTAATGGTTATAGGTGTTTAAGCTAAATGAAGATTAAGAACCATGAGTTGAAACAGTACGTGCATTTAGGACCATATTTATCCCAATTTCAGGAGGAAAATGTTTAATAAGAGGCACGTTTCGAGGAATCACTTTGGCTGTAAGACAGACGATTTGTCATGATTGTGTGAGAAACAGTATGACGAAACCTAGTTGATCTCCTGTAAAATGTGACGTGGCTGAACAAGCTTAATATAGGCAATGACCAATTTATAGAGATCATACATCCAGTGTTTGTCCAAGATCTTAATGCTTGGCTGCAGGAACATCTGTGCAGGATTGGATGCTGGCGAGTCAGCCACAAGTTTTGCTACTAAAGAGCCACCCTTCTTAATAGGTTGAAAGCTTCTTGGAGCAAAAGACGTACGTATTTCCAATGTCAGAACAGCGAATATTGAGAATGAGAGCAGAATGAGAGCAAAATGAGAGGCATGTGAAATGATACTAATCGAAATTCTAAAACAGATTCTAGAGGGTCATTGACACTACAGTGTTGCAAAGAGTATTTCATCTTTTGTAATGATTATTTTAGGAAGTATTCTTGTTTAAATGAATGTGAAATGTGCAACTGTTAGAAAGTCGTGATTTATGGTAAGTGATTTTGAGCATGCGTAAAGCTTAAATTGATGAGTAAATAATGTATGGCATCTGTAATATAACTAGAGAATGTTTCTTTTTAAACCCAATGTAATAACGTAGAATGAGGATAGTATGTGTGTATCAAACCTAATGCATGTAGAGCAACAAACGTATATCATTTTACAGAGGACAAAAGAGGTGAAAATGTATAGATGCTAGAGTCAAGCAGCAGCTGCATATATCATTTCAAAAATTTAAAGCATCTTAAGTGTGCTGTTTGAAAAAATCATTGCTAACTCCAATGTCATTAGCAAATCTCATTATTTTTACTATTTAGAATTATAGTTCATCACAATTTTTGTTATGCAGTTGTCCTTTTTTTTTTAACAGAGTGATGCGGATCCAATTACTTTAAAAAGTCCATTCTTTCCATACTATAGTAGCTCAAATACGATTTTATTTGTCTAGGCCTAAGGTTCACTGTAAGTTGAAATAGACTTCGTGGCACACAAAAATGGCAACAATAGGCTGGCATTAAATCTCTGAAATAGCCACTTTCCTCCTTGTATCCCCATAGTATCTACATTTCTCTCCTTTTACCTATACACTCAGACCTAGAAACTAAGTTTCTTTTTTTTGTTTTAATGGTGTCATTTCATGCTATCTTTTTCTGTGTGTGGTAAAAGGTATACAACAGAACATTTGCTGTTTCAAGCATTTTAAGTGTAAGATTCAGTAACATTAATTACTTTCACTATGTGTGCGACTATCACCACTATCAGTTTCTCAGTTTTTCCATCACCCTTAGCAGAAACTCGGTGCCTGTTAAGCATTAATTCCCCCTCTTCCCTCCAAACTGCTGCTGGTAACCAACCATTTTGTCTATACATTTGCGTATTCTAGTTATTTCATTTAAGTGGAATTGTAGAATATCTGTCCTTCTGTATCTGATTTATTTCGGTTAGCATAGTGTTTTCAAAGTTCATCCACATCATAGCATTTATCAGAACTTCATTTGTTTTTATTACTGAATAATATTCTATTGTATGAATGCACTACATTTTGGTTATTCGTGTAGTTTGCGAGTCTACGTATCTATCTAACACGTTCCCACTTTATACTGAAAATAGTACGCGTACAATTAAAGTTGCAAATGAAAATTAGTGTTCATAGAGAAAATAATAAAAGGAAAGATAATACTGTAAGGGGAGACCCTGGTATGATGATCATGCAAGAGAGAGAACATTTACACTGAGATCAAGAATTGAAAGAGTAGAAGTCAGCTGGATGGGGATGGGGGAAATGGGAACTGATTTAACTGCATGTAATTAAAAATCCATAAAGCATGATGACTGCATTGATCAAACTTGAAAAATATGTTCTGCCTGAAAATGCTCCCATGTTGATATCAAATGACAGTGTGTGTGTTGATCCACAAGGGGCAGAGTTATGTAGGTGAACACACTAACTCATCCTTGGACCCCCTGAGTCCCTGGAGAAAATCAGGTTCAGGTTTTCCAGCCTTGCCATGGATGCTTCTCATGCTCTGGAATGAGTAAATTCCTCCATCTGTGATCTTGTTGCCAAAAGAAAGAGGCTCGTGTAGCTGTGTGAAGAATGCAGGTGTGTGCTCTGGAAGGCTAGAGCCTGTTCTGCCTTAAATGCAGTGGACACAGGGTAAAGCCCTGCTTTGAGCTTGGAGGAAGTCCTGCCAGGGAAAGAGTTGAAGGCCAAGGCTGTCACTCCCTCCTTACTCAACACTGTCTCCTCCCCATCTTCTTCCATTTCAGGTCCCAGGGTGGCACGGAGAGAACTAGTCCAGTCTAGGCAGCTGGGTTCCTAGGGAGACTATCTTGCACATCCTTGCTACTGCAAGTAAGGGTTTCAGCTGCTCTGGCTGGCTGTGTGAACCAAACATTCATCTGCCTCCAGACTGCCTGTTGGCTCTGCTTCCACTCCCATCCCTCTTAAGTGGCTTCTTGGGCTCTGAGAGGACATTCACTTAACTTCCAGAAGCTGTGCCAGGAAATGGTGAGTACCACAGAGGACTGGGTAATTCTTAGTATAAGGGGGTGAGGCTAAAATGATTTGGTGGGGGACTTGCTGTGTGCTCTGTGCTGCTTCTATGAGGTAAAAGGTGGCAGAGGAGACCACAGGTAAATCCTAAGAGAACTTCTAAGGCCCTGCTCCACCTTCACTGGGCCCTTCCTCTACACATATGTGGTTTTTCAAGCGTTGGATGCCTGGGGTCACCTTCCACATGTGACTCTCAGAGCTGGCACCATGGGTCCTTAACATCCCCACCCTGGTCCTCACTGCTGTGTGTTGAATGACAGAATCTCCTAAGCAGAGTGTGAAGATGGTACAGTTCTGGCTGGGGAGGCTGAGCCCCAGGCCCTCCAGAGCCATCCTGTCCCACCACTGCAAACAGTGTTCTTGGCTTCCCTCAGGCACTGGAGCCATTTCTGTGCAGTTCTGAAACTACAGCTCTGTCTCTCAGACAATGTGATCGAGTAAAGAAAGGGAGCAAGAGTTATTAGGGGAAGAATCCTGACTCTTTATGGGTCCTGTGTGGGGCTTGGCACTGTCATGACCTCACCAAAGGAATAAGTCAGGAGAGTGAGTCCAGCTGGATCATGTCTGGAGTCTCCAAAACCATCATTTTTTTCCAGTGGGGAATGGTTTTGCTTGAGCCTTTCAGGTGTGTGAGAAGCATGATACCCAATCCAGGTCCCTGTCCTCCCAGGCTGTCTGTGCCTAGAGCTGGTATTACATTTCTAAAAATTTTGACTCCTCAACACAGTCTTAGATTAAAATCTAAAATAAAGGTGTTCTTTTTTGCTAACGCAGCTCAAGATATGAGATGGTGATATCAACCTGCCTGGCCGGTAGTCGGGGGCAATACCACGGGTGTAATCCAGAGTCACGGGAGTAGAGTAGCCCCTAAACACTCTTGGAAAGGCTTGGTTTGTATTCTGAAAAAATAGGCAACAGAAGCCAGGCTGATTGGACTAAAGGTTTTTAATTAGGGGAAATTCAGATGCAGAAGGGCAGTGCAGATTCCCATGGGTGAAGCAGCAAACTGCTGGACTTTAATTTAGGGCATGATACTGGCCTGCACCTGAGGCCTCTAGTCTACTAGTTATATGCTCGAAGAGGGGGTGCATTATAGTGGGGGAAAAGAATGTGATACCAGCACTGCAGGAGGAGCACCACAGGAGGAAGGGAGGGGAAGTAAAGTCTGAAACCTGGTGGGGGTTGCGGCAGATGGCCCTGAGGAGGGGAGTCTGGTTAATGTCCTTGTCTAACTACTGACAGGATTACTGTCTGGTCAGTCGCTCTTGTTCAGTCCATCGTGGGCAGGATCCATATTGGATATTTCTAACACCCCACAGTCCATCCCTTTCCTGCTGGCTCTTAACAGTCTCATATGCACACCTCTTCCTCGAGCTTCCTTGAGCCTACAAGGATGGGGGAAATGAGTGTAGGGCTCCCTTCTCTACCTTATTAAACCCTTGCAAACGTACACCACACTGGCATTATAAGGATATTCAAAAAATGATTCCACCTATTATGATGCAAAGAAGTCCAAATAGTAATTTTTTCCACCATGTTCCCCACCCAGAGTACCACCCCTTGGTCTCTGTCCACCAGGTGTCATCCTCCATACGTTCTATGCAATATAATTGGGTTCATAAGTGAAGAAGGGAGTGGTTTACGAGGGCTGCACTATCAGGAATATGTACACAACATTCAATTTTTAATAAAGCTCAGGTGCCTCCTTGGGCTCCCATTGTCATGTCCAAAGCCATTCTGTTCTGAAGCACCACCTTTCTCGAGACAGCAGTTTCTTCGCTGAGAGTGGCAAGCTCATGTTCAGTGTCATTTAGGGGAGTAGTGACGAAGTTTTGTAGCTTCTCAAGTTTGGATATAGTTTTAATATTGTTGACATATGTATGTGTATATGTACGTATATATGTATACATATGTGTGCGTATATATATATGTATATACATAAATACATATGCAAACATGCATATGAGGCAGTTCAAAACACCATGGAACGGGTCAGGGGCACCTTAGTCTTCAAGGTGACATTTTTGCTTTTTAACACTTTAAAGAAATTTTTTTAAGCAGATTTGCCCAATGCAGTGTATTGTTTGATTTCTTGACGGCTGCTTCCATGAGCATTGTTTGTGGATCCAAATAAAATGAAATCCTTGACAACATCAGTCTTTTTTCCGTTTATCATGATGTTGCTTATTGGTCCAGTTGTGAGGAGTTTTGTTTTCTTTATGTTGAGGTGTAATCCATACTGAAGGCTGTAGTTTTTGATCTTCATCAGTAAGTGCTTCAAGTCTTCTTCACTTTCAGCAAACAGGGTTGTGTCATCTGCATAATAAATGTTAATGAGTCTTCATCTGTTCATGTTGCTGTGTTCTTCATATAATCCAGCTTCTCAGATTATTTGCTTAGCATACAGATTGAATAAGTATGGTGAAAGGTTACAACCCTGATGCGCACCTTTCCTGACTTTTAATCACACGATATCCCTTTGTTCTGTTCTAATGACTACCTCTTGACCTATGTACAGATTCCTCATGAGCATGGTTAAGTGTTCTGGAATTCCTATTCTTTGCAATGTTATCCATAATTTGTTATGATCCACACAGTTGAATGCCTTTGCATAGTCAGTAAAACACAGGGAAATATCTTTCTGGTATTCTCTGCTTTCATCCAGGATCTATGTGACATCAGCAATGATATCCTTTGTTCCATGTCCTCTTCTGAATCCAGCTTGAATTTCTAGCAGTTCCCTGTTGATGTACTGCTGCAGCTGCTTTTGAAAGATCTTCAGCAAAATTTTACTTTCATTCTCTTAGGGGATACCTAATACCTTCTTGGAGGGAGAAAGAGGAGTCTGGTTAATGTCCTTATCTAACTATGGATGGGGTTACTGTCTGGTCAATCTTGCTCAATCCCAGAGTCCTTTGTGGGCAAGATCCCTTATTGGATATGTCTGGAACCCCGCAGGTGGGTGTATGTGAATTCTGTGGGTCACAGTTTCCACTGGAAGCAAATTTTGGGATTAGTTTGTTTCTACTGATAATTTTTTAGTGGATATTAATCTTCTGAAACACAGGGAAATTCCTATTTTAACTGATGTAAAAGTTACTCTAAAGCCGACTTAATTTTCAGAAGGATCTGAAGGACTCCCATTACATTTACCATATTATGCTAGAACTCATAATGTTTTAACTCTTCTAGCCATTGTAGAAACCTTCTGACGGAGACAGAATGAATGTACAGATTTATATCCCTGTTTACTGGGTTTAAACACAGAGCTCTGACAATATTTTTGATTTGCAGAACTATATTAGACCATTTCATAACAGTTAGTCCCTAAGTGATTATATCTTGCATGCATCTATACTTATGAATGGAATTCCTAGGAAACACATTAAATACCAAGTTTGATTGTAAGTAGAATTATTGTTTTCCAATAGATAGTACCTTTAAAGCTCAAATATCAATATCAACTTAACAGTCCTTTTGAAGACTTGTTCCTAACCTTATCCTCATCCACACCATACTGCCTCTAGCTACCTTTAGATAAGCAGCTTTATTGTAAAATTTCTTAAGCATCTTGCTAGTATTTCTTTATATAAATACAAGCAAACAAATTTTTATTTACCCTAGTTTGTTATACAAAAGCTAGCTTGGAATTTATACTTGTTTTTTTCAGTTAACAAATTATCCTGGAGATCTGTTCATAACAGTATATAGACAACTTGAGTCTGAAGTTGTATAGAATTCCTTAATATTGCATTTAGTGAATCTTAGTTTTTTTTTTTTTTTTAACCTCACCACTACGAATGAATACTTGGAATGTTTCTAACATTTTCCTTTTACAAAACTCACTCTAGTGAATATAAATGTAAATTTGTAAATTTCTAAGGTATAAAAAAGTCAGATATAAAAGCCCTCCTGACCGAAGACAAGTTAAATCAAAATGAAGTGGCTGTCAGATTACTTGGTAAAATTAATATATGCAAATTATTTCTTTTCAAGTTTTAAATGTTTTAAACTTTTTATTGTAAAATAAGTATAAACAGAGTGCATGAAAGTTTTCGTGTAAAATTTTGATAACTCGAATCTAAACACCTGATTGTAAATAGGACTTGGGGGGTTCTTAGAGCCTCCCGTTCTGTCCTGTCCTGATCTCATTAACCTGGAGGTAACTTGTTTTTGTTGTTAGGTGTCATGTAGTCATTTCCAACTCATAGCCACCCTGTGTACAACAGAAGGAAACACTGGTTCTGTGCCATCCTCACAATCGTTTGAGCCCATTGTTGCAGCCACTGTGTCGGTCTCTCTCATTGAGGGTATTCCTCTGTTTCGATGACCCTCTACTTTACCAAGCTTGATGTCCTTCTCCAGAAACTGGTCCCTCCTGATAGCATGGCCAAAGTACGTGAGACGAAGTCTTGCTATCCTTGCTTCTAAGGAGCATTCTGGCTGTACTTCTTTCAAGACGGATTTGTTATTTCTTCTGGCAGTCCATGGTATATTGAGTATTCTTCACCAACACCATAACCGCTATCTGTACTTTAGAAATTTTTTATTATTGTTATTGCCATTATTGTAGCTTTACCATTGAAATCTTAATTTTTAAACTATATATTCTACATACTATTGAGTTTTGCATCTTTTGAGCTTTCTGTAAATCCAGTTACTCTTTTGATTCTTTCGTGAATTTGTTTTCCTCATGGTATTTTTGGGTTTCATACGTGTTGATGTCTGTAGTGCTAGTCTGTCCATGTTGCTATTTATGTATGTATTCTATTTTATGAATGGGTCACAATTTACCTATCCATTTTACAGCTTACAAAATTTAAGTTGTTTCTAGTTTAGTTTTTTCTCTTGTGAATAGTGCTGCTCTGTTCATTCTCCTTGTAGAGTCCAAGTGCTCTTGCCCAATAACTGTCTAGTGAAGGGAAGTTTAAGTTGCACATCATAGCCAAGTTTAA